AAGCTGTAAGATACCTTTTCATCAGGAACAGCAATTCTCAGGAGGTGTTAGCTCCCCTATGCCTATTGAGAATTTCTAGAGTCTTCAGATTTATTTATTCCTAGGTTTTCTCTTCCGATATAATGCTAAATTATTCTGGCAACACTTCCAACATTAGCAAACTACTACTTTAGTTTTAGAATCAATGGGATCTGAAGGTTTGAACAATTTGTTAATTTACTTCATCAAAAAACTCTCATTGCCAAGTAGATTTCTGTAAATGACCCTGATGACCCGTCCACAAACTATCCTCATATCAGTGATGGTCAATATGCAAAAATTAAACCTCAGGTGTGCAAAACTCATGGTTCAAAGGGAATAGGTAGATGTATATTTATTATAATTGTGTGACTACTTGACAATGTGCACTGTCGCCCAAAAATAACTGCATATATTATTGATTGCTACTTACTTGTTCACTAGTATGAAGACTGCAATTTATGCACATAGGAAATGTTTCATATACTTTGATACTACCATATGTAAACATTTTTATGGATATGTTTGTGAACCGAAATTGTAGGCCAAATATATATTCCTAGAATGTTATTTACTTAACTTCACAAACCGTTCTCATGACAGCTTGTTAAAGCTAAAGGTCTGTTACATGCAAAACTCCACTAATTAGTTTTATAGACACATCATGCTCAGTTATAGTTTTCTGTATAGCACTGGTCAGTTATATTGAAAGGAAATCAGGAAACTATCAAATGTATTAAAATTTTCTTGAAAAAAGAAATTATTAGCTAGTAGAACTAAGCTGCCATAAGTTATTTTATGCTAATGACTGGAGTCAGAGTCACTATGTACATAAATTATTTTAATAATGGTTGGAAAAAAAAAACTTCGATGTCATATTATTAACACTAAACAATTTGGTAAATTCATTGAAAAACCACTTCTATATACTGTGGTATTAAACAACAATGGCTTCATTCTATCAAATATAAAAGGTAACCACTTTTAATGTGAGTCTCCTTCCAAGACACTAAGCCATAAAAATTTATTTCAGGGGGAAAAAAAATACAACACTTTGAAGCTTTTTATACCTAGATTTCCAATTATAATTATATTGTAGTATCTACAGCCTGGGTAGGTCTAAATGATTTCAAGGATACTTTAACTCAAGTCCTCAAAAGAAAAAAATTACTTAAGAAACTCTAAATAAGACTAGAAAAACAACAAAGATGCATAACACATGAATGTAATCAGAAAGCAGCAAAGGATTAAAGGTGTCTAATCTTTAACGAACTATTTTGAGTAAGTTGTGACCGTTGTTATTTTGTTACATTAATATTTGGATTAAAAATGAAGGATGCTGGTTACTTAATACACAATACTCACAAAATTGGCCTCTTTTGGTCCAAAACTGCTTAAAAGTATTCTAAGGCTAGAATGTGAAAAATCTACTCATGTCACTATTAAATTTTGGAGATACTATGTATGGAAACTTGGAACATGGCTTATCAAGTACGAACTTAGAGCCAAAAGATTCTTAACAGTAAGACTTGGTATAAAATAAAAAGGAGACAAAGGTAATAAAATTAGCTATCAAAATGACAGAGTATCAATAAAACCTTTTATAAAGCTATGAAATAAAAGAGGTAAAAGACAATCTAAAGTAAAAAAAAGCAAAATATACTTGAGAAAAACAATAGTTATTTAAGAATCTAGAACTAGATAAGAGGATAGATAAAGCAAGATAATAGGAAAGACTAAAATCCATTTACAGATTACGTGCTATGATGCAATCAAACTAGAACACATTAAATTTCACTGATCTCTTTATATAGTGAATAATTTTTAGACATCAGTACATTTCCCTAATAATCCTCCTGTGACTTAGGGCATAACAGTAAACTAGAGCTTGCGAAGCAAATATACTACTAATTTTTTTGGTTATGGATTTTGACCTCCCTGACAGATGGAATCAAATGTCATGATTCAAATGTTAGTTTTATTTCCTTGACTTGAAAGCTCCAAGTCATTTAACATAAATGCATCTTAACAAACATACTTTTCCTTTTAATACTTACTCTAACAATATGCTAGAGGTATCCTTAGGGACCCAGAAGATGAAAGAGCCCTTACTACCTAGCGGTACTATCCACTCCCATAGACGTTTAAGTTTTCTTCTAAGTAGTTTCATTTTGTTAAGTTCTTAAAATTCAAGGTACCCTTCCATTGTCTGAAGTAATTACCCCCGAATGTAGAAAAACAAAACCCAAAATCATTTAGAAAAACATCTGGCAGTTATTATAAACCCAAAGCTGTTTTGTTAAGAAATATATGAGTATATGGAAGAATATTTTTAGTGCATTTTATTAGAAATGTGATAGCAGAATAGCTAAAAGTTTCTTTTTTTTTTTTTAAGAGCCTTGTTCTTTGGTCTGCATTAAATTTTATAATTGTTACTTTTTATCAGAAGAAAAGATTATATGCTTCATATCATAGTTTTAAAATCAGACCAAAAGGTAATTTTATACCTTATATAGATTTTTTTGATCAAAAATCTGTATCTTCTGAAACTGACTGACTGCTTTAAGAAGTTTGCTAAATGGACTGATAGTTATAAAACCATTGCAATAAGAGGGTAATAAAATTTTAGAATTAAACTTTATAAGCAACCCTACTTATGACATTTGAAAAGTCACTACTGGCTAACTTTATTTAATCAATGTACCAGACTTCAAATTTAATACTGACAGATCAATACAATTAAGTATACCTCTCATTAAGTTTTAAAAAATCAGTATCACGAAGCCAAATCCCATCTGAAACTCAAACTTCCAAAGTTTAACTAACCACAAAATAACATTTACTGTAAAATGAAGTTTTTTGCTGTTAAATTCTAAAAGGTGAAATTATATATGTACATATATGTTATGTATATATTAAATTTATGCAAAGGCTTTAACTGTAGTGGACTACTACCAAATAAACCAGTTACCATCGAGTTCACGCCAACTCATGGTGACCCCATGGGTGTTAGACTAGAACTGTGCTCCACAGCATTTTCAGTGGCTGATTTTTTGGAAGAAGATCACCAGGTCTTTCTTCCAAGGTGCCTTTGGGTAGACTTGAACCTCTAACCTTTTGGTTAGCAGCCCAGAGTGTTAACCTTTTGTACCACTCAGGGACTCCAAAGCCCAACTATTAAAAAATAAAACAGAAAATCGTAATGGGAATGTTTACAGGCTTATAATTCAAATTTATGAAAACAGAAGGATGCTTTTATCTATATAGGGTCAAACATAAGTCAGCTAATTCTATCTGTGCATTCAAATATCTACTGCCTTTACATATGGATAATATTTCAAAACAGTTAAAGGTGTGCTAATTTTGATGAAATGCTTTACTACTGCCATTTTATTATATTGACAACTGGACCCCAAAATTCACTTTAAAGACTTCTATCTAGGAAATAATGATATTAAAAATTCATCAAAAAAAATCTAAAAATCTTTATCATTCTCCTTTAGTTCTTCATAAAAGTCTTATAACCCTTTTAAACTGAGATTATCTGTTATTCCGATAGTCAAGTTCTTCGTGTGCTGTTTCTAATTCTTTTAAAACTTAATGCTGCTAAGGAATTAAAATATCTGACCACTTTCTTTTGTTATAATATTTAACAAACTTCGTTTTTATAATAATGACTAACAACTGGCTATCAAGAGTTGGTTTCTGAAACCAAAATAATTTATACTTCTTCATGGAGATAAAGTATATTAATCAGTATTTACTGATCACTCCAGATGTTTCCTATAAACTTAATTCTCATTTGCTTGCTATAGGAAAATATTCTATTTTGCTATGCATCTTTTAAAATAACTTCTACAATAGTGGCTTTTTATTTTGGAAAAAATGTTTAATTTTTGTCTAGCATTGGGTATTTCAATGCAGGTTAAAATTAAACTGAACCATTTATACCCTACCAAAATTATATTAAGGATAACATAGCCTCTCTCATTAATGTATTCAATAAACTCCTATAAGGCTAAAGAGCTTTTGAAAATATCCTTTACTAGCATAAATAGACAGAAAAAATATATATTATTTTTGGATGTATTTAACTTATTAAATGAAGTGTTATCTAATTGTAAGAACTGAAACGTTATACATCTGACTAAAACACAAAGTTACATAAAATGACTTAAGAAAGCAGGAATGAAAAGATCAGGTTATACTAGTCAATTCAGATTCAGAGAGGGCTGTTCCAACATTTATTCCCAAAAAGTTTTTGAGGCATAGCTCTTGAACATAGTGGATAGAGGTTTTCTTGTTAACTCAAGATATAACCCCCCTAACATGTACTGTGTATATCCCTTTCATAACCTTCATGCTCTTCCTGTAATGAACCTATATATTCAACATACAAATGAAAGGTAACTGGTATATGCTTTAAAAAATATATTTCATAAAATAATACTAACAGACATAATTATTTCATTTTAAGAGTACCAAGAGAAGAACAGCTTAAAGATGAGAGGACATTTAAAAATACTATATTCGGTCTATGTGATTTTTTAATACATAAAAGGGACACCTCGCAAAAGGCTGAACAAGAATCCCTACAAAAAGCACTACTCCATACTCTCCTTTCAGTGCAGACTACATTGTAGAAACAAAATCTCTCTTAGAGAACTAGTTGTTAGAAATAATGACTATCCCTAAAGATATTATACTCTCAATTTTCACTACTTGAAGAAGAGTCAGTATCAATTTCTCTTAATATAAAGATCTAGCTTCAGGAAAAAGTAAGCCTTTCAAATTTTCACCTAGGTCGATCTAGTTGACTGGCTTTAAGTACCCAAGTGCCCCTGCATTTTTCTGTGCTTCTTTCTCTTGTAGGCTGAAATGCCATTTCAGGCTTTTCCCTACTTAAATAGTTTCAAGTCTCTGTACAGAAATGAACAATGTGAACAAGTCTGGTGAAGCACAGATACAGTCCTTAATATAGCTTAATTATACAGTCCCTTTTCCCATATAATTTATATAAAAAGCACCAAAACTGGAGCCAAGTTTTTCAATAGGTAATGTAACAGCAGGAACTATAATTTAATCACATCATGTCATATTACACTATGTAACATTCTATATTTTGTCTGTTGATATGTAACACAGTTAAGTTTATTACAAGCATTATTTCCTAAGATTTATGGTATAAGTGCTCTTTTTCAAGTATGATCACTTATTTAATAGTGTTTCTATCTTAACAATAAATCAGTGATAAATGTACATAATGTAATACATTGTGCCATTTCCTCCCTAACCTGTGTTATTCTTAACAAAATCAACTAAGAAAACCAAACAACTGTGAAAACCAAAACAAGGCTATCAACATCACAGATACGTATCTGAGTAGGTCAACAGCACTGTCCCCTTTACATGATGGTATTTTCATCAAAAAATGCTTCTGTATCTTTAGGCTGGCATTACTTTAGCAGCAGCTGGTATTCAGGACAAGTGTATCAGAAAAGAAGTATCAAGTGAAAAAAACACTCAGTTAACCTAGAAAATATCAAACTATGTTACTAATAAAAGAAGCAAACTGCTGGTATCACCTTAACATAAAACTGTGTTTTCCCTTTCAACCTGTGTTTTAATTCATTTCTGTGATAACAAAACTTTGGACTTCTCATGATACATCAATGAGATGGACTAATTTGTCAGCAAACCTCTTACTTGTTTTAATATTTAAATTATAACAATAGCTAGAAAAAGGTCAGTGCCTCAGTGGCTTTAAACCACATCGATTTTTTCCCCCCAAAATAATGATGCAATTAAATCTATGCTTCTGCAACCATAGTGCAATACAGTATCCTTTCCTGTATAAGGAGCTGAGATTTACCCAAGTAGAAGCTTTAAATAAGGTAGGCTGTTGCCAACTACATATCAATCTGGCATGTTTGATATAAAATATATTAGGAAAGCTTAAACTGACCTGTAAATCTATATTCAGCTAAAGTTTCACATAAGCAGCAATGGAAATGAACAGAGGTGCATTCAATATAAAACACTTTTCAAAACTACTCCAAAAAAAAAAAAGAAAAGACAAAAAGTGGTTAAGAACAACTGAACATCTGTTGTGTGTACCAGATGTAAAAGAAGAATGGACCCTGTGGTTACTTGCACTGGTTGAATTACATAAAGGAAAAATTAAGACTTAGTCCACTTCCATCTCCCCAGAAGATTTAGTACGCTGGGAGCTGTCTGTTGTCGTGTCCGGGTTAGTGTCAGTCCCACTCTGTCCATCCATTGGTCCATTGTGTTCACTATTAGCTTTTGCTTTGTCTTCAGCAACCTCTACTTCTGGTTTGGGCTTGTAAATGATAGGGTTACAGAAATTATCCAGTTCCTAAAGACAGGAAGAAAACTGGTTATATTACAGAACAAGTTACCATTAACTTTCTAAATTCTTTATTACTTTCTAAATTTCTGCTTAATTCCATATACGTGAATTTATATTAGCTCAGCTAAAGGATTTATCTAAAGGATTTATCTTCTGGGCTAGCACACGTCACTGGAGACTGGAAACTACATGGGTGGCACAAATGGTTAAGTGCTTGACTACTAACTGAAGGTTGGTGGTTCAAACCCACCCAGAAGCAGCTCAGAAGAAAAGCCTGGAGATCTTCTTTCGAAAGCTCACAGCCTTGAAAACCCTATGAAGCACAATTCTACTCTGATACACACGGTGTAGCCATTGAGTCAGAATCAACTTGATGGCAACTATTTTTTTTTTTAACCTTCTTAAAACTTACTTCCTCTTAATTTAAATATAGTTTACTTTGGCAGAAATAATTTTTAATTAAATCTTTTAAATCATGCCTAATGCTTTGTTATGAAAATTGTGTCAAAATAACACCTATTTCACAAACTTAAATTTCTCAACATTTATATGAAAATGATTTTAGTCAGTGGAATCATATAAATACACACTAACAACTTTACTATTTGAAAATAGCTGACTAATCTTTTTTATTGAAGGAAAAAAACTTGACATTAAATGCAGCTTAACACTTTAAATAAATACATTTTTTATTCCTTTGCTTTTTACACTGACACAGATACTACTGACATAAATGCTACTAAAGTTTAAAAACCTTTCAAGGCCAATGTCAAAGAGAGAGGGGTAGGGATGGAAAGACAGGGAGTAACATACTAGGGCAATGTCCTAGTGGCAAACCGCTCTTGTCATACTCAGTGTTTCATTTGACTTGAAGTAAACTAATTATTTTATCTAGTTTCTTGGGAAAACTTTTTCAAAATTAATATACCTGCTGCTTTACCTGATTATAAAAATACTTGCTTTTGTCAAAAAAGAAAAAAATCAAATGCCCAAAAATACACTGCATGAGCTAAAAATCACCTGAAATTCCATTTTCTAGAGACAGTTACTATTAACATTTTGTTGAACATCCTTCTAGATGTTATGTCCGTGCACCCATATATACGTGTGTATACATATACACACACACATACAACCATACAAATCTATGAACACGCATCTTTATATATAAATACTTATCTCTATAACTAAATTTAATGGCAGCATAGTATTGTATGGACACACCAGTTTACCTGGTTTCCTACTGAAACCAGGTTGTTCCCTTCTTCGTTTTTTGCTATTATAATAAGCAAGGGTATATATATCTGCATGTACATGTGCAACAATCAATTGAGGATGAATTCCCAGAACTATGATTCCTGGGTTAAAGAGTATACTCAACTTTAAACTTCCATACATACTTTGACACAATAACCTAGAAAAGTTGTAATAAAGTTAATAAAGTTGTCTCAGGAGAGCATCCACTTCTCCACATCCTTGCCAACTATGGCAAAGATTATAAATGTAAACAAAACCAAATCAGATGGGTGAATAAAAAGATTTATTCACACTTCTTAGATTAGTGGTAAGGATAAACACATTTTCGTACATTTACTGGATAGGTATTTCTTCTGTCCTTTTTAAAATAAAAAAAAAAAGATTAGTGTTTGACCCCATTAAAAAATAACGTTATAGTTTCTTACCTTTGACTTTGCAACTATTTCTGAAACTTTCACGACAGGATCTTGAGTGAGACTTAGTTTGTTCTGTGCATTCATCTTATTGTTCAGCCAATTCATGGCTTCACTGATATATTTTTCAACCTTTTCCATTTCAGCAGGATCTAAATGATCATATCTTTCATCCTATTTAAAAAAAAATTTTACTTAACAGATTTTTCAGAAAGCACCAATTTACTGATAATCTCTGTTTAAAAAACTTAGACTCTTACTAAAAAACACATACCCATATGAAGAAGCCACATACAAATTACACAGACCTGAAGAGACTAGAAGAAAATAAAAAATCAATGTAGGTATAAAAAGGAAAGGCTATCTGAAGAAGTCAGGTTTGGAAAAAGAACAATTAGTGAAAGATATTCAAGGGAAAAGCACTTTGCCAAGAAAGAAGCGCTACGGAATGTAATTTGTTGTGGAATAAAGATAAACAAGGTGATTAGGCATACAGCAAGCTAAACAAAATTCTCAATATACAACAGTACCACATGGTAAGTTGTTGAGGAGGAGAATGACATAACGAAAGTCTGTCTGAAAAAGAGAACTGCAGCTGTCACATACAGGAGAAAACCTGGTTTGGACTGGCAGCCATAGAACCAGAAAGAAACGGCAATGTGACATACAGAAAGTAGTTTTCAGCACAATCTCCTGATTATGGATTCGATGCGGAAAATAAAGGGAAAGAGAAAGAAAGAATACTCCAAAGCCAAAGAAATACTTTGTTATTAAAAATATGTGAAAATAACACCTACTTCATAAGTTAGAAAAGGTAAGAACTGGGAGGATGGTGATGTCATTTTTTAAAACCACAGAAATTCCTCAAATACCCAAGTCCTCTTTCTGCTAGTGTGATTACAAATTACGCAGCCACAATCTTTGACTCAGTTTCTGGATCACCACATTTTCTTGAATTTCTTCCTACTTCCTGGTCACTACTTGTTAAGTTTCCTTTGCTAGCTTCTCCTGATTTATCCCTCCAACTAACATGCTTTTTAAAAATCCCCAGCCTGAAACTCCTCTTCCCTATACTCATGACTTTATATCCACCTTCTAACTTGACTTCTCTATTTGTACAGTTTGAAATGCCTATCTATGTTTCAAACTCCTGATTAACTCACTACCTACTTTTCCCAGTTTTCTTTATCTGAGTAAATGACAACTTCATATTTCCAGGCCAAAGTTTTCAGTAATCTTTCATTCCTCATTCTGTCATATTTACATCTATCAGCAAATCTTTTCAGCTCTACCTTCAAAATATATGCAAAAATTTGACTACTTTTTACCCCTCTACTATTTGGGTCTAAGCCACTATCATTTCTTGCTTGTATTATTCTAATAACCTCTTAACTAGTCGCTCTGCTTCCAGATCCTTTAAAAAGTAAGTCAAATCACACTCTGCTTTCCTCTAATGGCTCCCTATCTCAGAGTAAAAGCCAAAATTTTATAATGTTCTGGCAAATCCCACTGCTATAAGCCATACTGTCCTCCTTGCTGTTCCTCCATGTTCTCTCCTTTGGATTTTACAATTGCTAGTCCCTTGAAATGTTCTATTCTAGAACATCCCTCTTCCAGTTATATGCATGTCTTGAGCACTCACCTCCTTTGAGTCTCTCCTTATATGTCATCTTACTAGTCTGCCCTTCTCTGTGACAAACTCCTTTACCTCTGGCAGTCTCTATCCCCCTTACCTTACTTTCTCTACAGCCCTTAATTACCATCTGACCTACTTTAAAATAACTTATTTATTGTCCACCTTTCCCATATTAGAAACAGCATGAATGTTTTGTTTGATGTTGTAGTTCCAGCACCTAGAAGAGAGCCTGGCACATAAGAAACACTCAAATGCTTGCACATAAGTGAAGTCTTGCCTTGCTCTGGATAATGTCTTACAATGGCACACTCAAGAAAAAGGATGCTAAAGCCTGGCGAGCACTGGGCCATTGTAACTGTATGTGGATCCTCCAATACAGGATTTGACATATCCTTTTATTTTCATTTGTCTGCTTGTTTCTGCTTACCTCTCTATTATCCTTATATTCTACTTGTGCCCATATGGATAATTTGGCTATTGACACTGGTAGGCATATTCACAATCAGAACCTGGATTTTTCTTTCAGCTTTAGCTTCATATCCTGGACAGTAATTTGTTTCAGAAAACTCAAAAATCCCTTATTTCTAAGATAGTCTTATTTTAGAGTATGGTTGCTAAGGGTTTGTACGTCAAGTTCAGACTGCTCGGGTTTGAATCCTAACTCTATCATTTACTACTTGTGTGATGCTAGACAAACTGCTTAAACATTCCAGTGTCTTATATGTAAAATGATGGCAACAGTATTAACTATCTTTACAGGATGTATCCTTGTGAGAATTAAGTGAGATCATCCATGTAAAGTGCTTAAAATTCACCAAGTGTTTAATTACTGTAAGCTATTGTGATACCCATGCTTGAATGTTTCTGGTGCTGGCCCCTCCTGTTCACGGATTCAGTTTTAACATCAATGATAAAAACTGGGAGATTACAGTGAATGTTTATTTACAGTAGGGGTCAGCAAACTACATACACCCAATCTGACCTGCTTACTGTGTTTTTGGGAATACAGCCATGACCATTAGTTTATGTATCACCTATGGTTGCTTTTGCACTACAATGGAAGAGTTGAATAGTTGTACATACATGGTAAGGCCCGCAAAAGGCCTAAAATATTTGTTATTTGGTCCTTTAAAGAAAAAGGCTGCTAATGCCTCATTTAGAGGGCAAAAATTGTAAGCTTAATTTTGTCAAGTTTTATTGTACATCCAAATGGAGATATCCTTTATGTAACTACTTGGGGCTTCAAAACAGTGGAAAGGTTAGTAATACAGATTTGGATATGTATATAAAGGAATAAAGGGTATAGGAGATTATGGATAACTAATTGACTGGAAGACATAAAGAGCAACTAAAAGAAAACCAAAGAGGCCAAGGAACAAAATAAAGGCAGGCAGAGAGTCTAGTCTCCACGAGGGCCACTTTTCCATTACAGGAAAAACACAAAAATGAAATCTCTAAGAAGAAAACAATGAATTTGGTCACTGGATTGACTTGTAATGTGATTCACTGGAATTTAAAAAATGAAAGCCACATGCCTTCCCTGTATTTTAAATGTATCAAAATCCTTAATAATTCTCTAATAAAAAAAAAGTTTTAAGTTTGGTGCACAAAGTCTCTGGAATTTGGTAGCAACAACTCTGCTCAGCTTTGTGGTTCAGTACTGTTACATCTACCCTACCCTCTCCAAGGACCACACGAACGCCATCATCATCAGCTGGCTTCATGAATTCAATACCTTGTTTCTGTATGCTTCTATCACTTTCATGACAAGCTGGATCTTTTTTCCCAAGTCATTCAAAGCTTTTGGTCTCTCTTCATGTTCCATGTACCTCATTTGAATAGGCTGGCCATATTTCTGTTAACATAAACATTTTTTTTTAAAGAAAAAGTTGGCATTATTTCTAACAAAAAATAACTTCTATTGTGCCTTCACAGAATGACAAATAAGAAGGAAAGTTGATCAGATTAAAATATGTCACTTCTTATTTCCCCACATGGAAGTGAGCTCCAGTGGCTATTTTCTTACTCAGTCCTACACATGGATGCCTAATTCAGGCCTTACCTCTTTCTCTCATTCATTAAGATTACTTGTTGATTCCTCCCAAATCCAAAATCCCAATCAGTACTTTAATTCCTTAAAAGTGAGGTGTTATAAGTTTATAACTATTATATAAACTATTACAAAACTGTTAAACTAAGAATACCATAAAGTCTATACTACGTGTAGAAATCATGTATTTGAAACTTGGTTTCAAATATTTATAATGCCTATAACTCTCTATGCAACATGACTACTGATAATCTATATCGAATATTATAAATTATATTTAATCATTAGATTGAAATGTATACTGCACTGAATAACATAAATTATATTTAACCATTAGATTGAAATGTGTACTGCACTGAACATCATAAATTTATTATATTTAACCACTAGACTGAAATGTGTCATTTAAAAAAAAATACCTTTGGCCCCTTGCTCAAGTGCCTGGAATAGGATTTTTTAAGTTTCTAAATGTTACAAGAGCCTCCATATCTTAGGCGAGGGGAAGAATAACATGGATAGATATTTTCTTTTAAATTGTTTTCTATATTTAAATAAAAATGAGCTTATTTTAGAATAATTTTAGACTTGCAGAAAAGTTACAGAGGTAATACAGAGAGATCCACAAACTTCACACCCATTTCCCCTGATATTAACACCCTATACTACCATGGTACGTTTATCAAAACTCAGAAACCAACACAGGTGTGTAAATATTCACTGAACTCTGTATTTTATTCAGATTTCATCTTTTACTGTTCCAAGACACCATATTACATTTAGTTCATTAACATACTTTTTATTATTTAAATGGGGAGAACTACATTTTTAATTTCTAAAAGCCATCTCAAAAAAAAAAAAGTAAAATCTGTGAGAACTTCTGTAACATTCATTTCAATGGCCACTTATTTGAGGCAAATCTTTTTTTTAAAAAAATTTTATTGTGTTTTAGGTGAAAGCTTACAACACACATTAATTTCTCATTAAAAAACTTACGCACAAATTGTTTTGTGACATTGGTTGCAATCCCCGTAATGTGTCAGCACACTCCCCCTTTCCCTTTAAACCCCGGGTTCCCCATGTCCATTGGTCCAGGTTTCCTGTCCCTTCCTGCCTTCTTGTTTTTGCTTTTGGGCAGGTGTTGCCCATTTGATCTCCTATATTTGATTGAACTAAGATGCACATTCCCGATGTGCGTTACTGTTTTATAGGCCTGTCTAATCATTGGCTGAGAGGTGGACTTCGGGAGTGACTTCAGTTCTGAGTTAGCAGGGTATCGGGGGGCCATATTCTTGGGGGTTCCTCCAGTCTCTGTCAGACCAGTAAGTCTAGTCTTTGTGAATTTGAATTTTGGTGTACATTTTTTCTCCCACTCTGTCTGGAACCCCCTATTGTGATCCCTGTTCAGAGTGGTTGGTGGTAGTAGCTGGGCACCATCTAGATCTTCAAGGCTCAGGCTGGTGGAGGCTGTCGTTTATTAGTACTCTGGACTAACATTTTCTTTGTGTCTTTGGTTTCTTCATTCTCCTTTGCTCCGAACATGATGGGACCAACAGATGTATCTTAGATGGCCGCTCGCAAGCTTTTAAGACCCCAGATGCTACTCACCAAAGAGGGATGTAGAACATTTTCTTTATGAACTATGTTATGCCAACTGACCTACATGGCCCCTGAGACCATGGCCCCCAGTCCTCAGCCCTAGTAACTCGGTCCCTCAAGGTGTTTGCATGTCTCTAGGAAACTTCTATGGCTTTGCCTTGGTCAAGCTGTGCTGACTTCCCCTATATTGTGTGTTTGTTTTTTCCTTTCACCAAAGTTAACACTTGTCTATTAACCTAGTTGGAAACCCTAGTGGCATAGTGGTTAAGTGCTACGGCTGCTAACCAAAAGGTTGGCAGTCTGAATCCACCAGGCACTCCCTGGAAACTCTATGGGGCAGTTTTACTCTGTCCTATAGGGTCACTATGAGTTGGAATCAACTTGATGGCAACAGGTTTAGTTTGGTTTGGTTTTTATTACCTAAGTTAGTGATCTCCCCTCCCCATCCTTTCCCTCCATCATCACCATCAAAGACTGTTTTTTTTTGTGTGTGTAAACCTTTTCTTGGGTTTTTATAATAGTGGTCTCATAAAATATTTATCCTTTTGTGATTGACTTATTTCATGCCACATAATGCCCTCCTCCATAGGCAAATCCATTTTGGGAGCTACTAGGCTCTTCAGTTATTTCTATTGGCCTCAGCTACCCAGTTGTTCCTTAATGCTATAAATACATACATTCTTCTTAGGGTGATAGGGAGTAAAAACTACCAAGAAGATAAAATATGAAGTCTAGTTTTACTATCATAAATTTATGTTTTCTAATTGCTTTCTAATTAATTAGTTCCTTTGGAAGTAATTTATTGGCATAAAGGTAATTTTTGTAAAATATTAACTTCTTTTGCTTTTAAACACTACCTACCCTCCTCCAGTCCTAAAGGCTTGCTTTTTCCCGTATTCTAAAAATCCTTATTAATGGCACTATTTAGGATGTATTTAATTACTTGCTACTCAAAGAATTATTCAAGGACTAACATCATCAGTATCACTGGGGAGTGTATTAGAAATGTAGAATTTGGGGCCCACCCTGGATCTACTGAATCAGAATCTGTATTTCAACAAGAGCACCAGGTAATTTATGTGCATTGTAAAGCACTACTCTGATCCACACTAAAATGGAATAACTGAAACGTCCCTTCATTCCTCCAATATGAACTTCTAATCAAGCCTCCCCCAGTGGGGGCTGGGTAGGAAGCCAGGAGAAGAATAAACAGAAGTCTTTCCTTAAAAATCATACCATTGGCCTAGAAAAAGGTGACCTGGTTGGCAAGTCTCCTTATTTCTTTGCAAAGAGACATTTGAGAGCAGGGCAAGTCCCCATCAGTTGCCATTTGAAAGTACAAGGCAGTGTGGTATTATTCCCCAAAATCTGAGCAGTGAAGGGGGAGAATAGAATAACAGAAAGGTGACTAATCTTGTGGATAAGGAGTCAAGCTGACAAATTTATCACTTCTTAAAAACATCCCAAAAATACTCTGGAGATCTCTTAAACATTTATGTCTGATTATAATGATAGACAATTATGAATATACATTTAATTTCAATTATCAATTAGCATTATTCTCCTCTCAAAATGCTTTTAAAATTAAAAGGAACACTTTCTGTTGACACATCTCTGCCTCAGTTAATTCCCCACATATTTATTAAAAACATACACTGTGCTCTTACACCATAGTTTTTAGGAAAACTTAATGTTCCGTTAAATACCAACATGAATTTTTTAAAAATTTACCTTTAGTTCTTGTAACTTATCCACATAAACTTGTTTAGGTTGGTCCTCTCCTTCTTCATAAAGCCAATTTTCTGTGTCTTCCAATATCGCAGACAATTTATTCAGGTCCTAGTTACACATTTAAGAGACACTAATTGAAAATGCCCTTAGAAATAAAAGTAACCAAGTAAGGACAGAATGTTTTTCAAGTATAAAAGATTAAATTTCAGATTATTCTGACTCCTTATTCATAAAAATGTTTTTTTGACATGCTTCTGCAGTTTGGAGTAATGACTAGGAACCATCCCCACTTGGGCTCAAGAAGACTGACTACAATAACAAATTCATGTAACACATACTACTCTTCTCCAGTAAAATTTAAACAGTTCTATTAAAAAGATTATAAACGTCAGACTTACTTCTGGAGTGATAAATTTTTCATAGATGGCGCCCAGCTTGTCTCTAAGCTCATATACATGTTCTTCAACAGCGTTCTTAGCGTCATTTCTTTCTTTCTCTAACTTATCCTGCATTATCATCTTCCCCTACACAAGAAGTTTCAGATTAATTTCCATTAAGAACATTGACTATGTCATTATACATACTCAGGTTCAAATCCCAGGTTCCCCACTTACTAGCTCTGAGACCACAGGCAGGTCACCTAATTTCTCTAAGCCTTTGTTTTCTTATTCTAAAATAGAGATCATAATTGTATCTATCTCACAGGGCTGTTGATAAGATTGGCATAATTCATGTAAAACTTTTATTACAATGCCTGCCAGATTACTGATGTTGAATAAATGTTAGCTACGGATGAAGAGAGAGTATTGTGATTTTAACCTTGAGTTTTGGAGACAGACCACCTGGATCCAAATCCAAATGTTACTCTGTGACCTTGGGTGAAATTTAGTCTACTTGTGCCTCAGTTTCCTCATCTATAATACATGGATATCTAACAGTACCTACACTTCATAGGTTTGTTTTGAGGATTAAATAAGATACCAAAGTTTTAGAAGATGTTAGCAACATTCATTCATTGTTATGATCAAAAGCAAATAAAGAATCCCTGCAGACTGCAACAGCTGAAGAGCAAAATTTTCATTTTAATAAAACTACACGATATTTTAAGCATAAGCCTCTCTTTGAAAACTACAGTGCATGGACATTTGTGAATTTAAAATAGTGAGACACTTAAAAATTAAGAAAAATCTCATTTTAGATACAAAATTTGCCACAGCTGTGTTTTGCTACAATTCCTTTGGGAAAAATAATCTCAAAACATACAAATTCTGAACAATTCAAGCTCTCCAGGAACGCTTGCCTCACATGAAGTGCAGCCTTTAATAATTAATGAATAAGTGATAGAGGTTTTGGGTAGGTACTAAAAAGAACAAGCATTATAAAATCAAAATCTCTTGAAGAAATTCCTAGAATAATGGGCAGCTGATGGTTAAAATATGGGGCACTTCAAGGAAGACTACTTCAAAGAAGACTGACCTCCTTTAATGTCAGCCAAGCTTGTAGAAATTAGGAACCACCACTTAAATGTAAATTAAAAAAAATTACTTCTTACACAGCTATTGGTAAAGAAATACAACTCATTTCCTCACCAGACTGTAAAATTAAACATGTAAATAGACAAGAATATGTAACACAATTTAAAAAATGACAACAGATTAAAAAAAAAGGATTAAATGGAAGTCAGAAAACATTTTGAATAGAACCTTAGTTTTTAAGAACAATGCATTTCAAGGGGGGAATTGCTAATACTTCCCCTACATAACTCTGTTGAGTGTTACAGGTGAAGACAGAATAAAAGGATGTAAGAATCATTAATTTCAGAATGGTCTTTCACAACATTGAAGACAATCCATGTTTTTATAACTAAGATGAAAGCTACACTATAGATATGACACTAATACAGCTGAGCATTTTGTCCAAAATAAAGGAGTTTAATGATCTATTTAATAATCCCTTAGTAGTTACCAGTTCCCCCAAATTCGGTGATAGTTGTGGGCTTCTACAAAATTTTAGAATACAGTACCACCTATTTCAATATCAATTCATATTTACATACCTCATTTTCAATATAGCTATTGAGAAGATCTTGGCCCAGTTGTCTACAAAGGCTACTCTGGATAGGTAGATCAATACTCTTGACTTTTCCTTTTTTAATGGTCTGGTTTAATCTCTCTTGTTTGTCTGAGGAAGCTGACTGCAAAAGAAATGCAAAAGAGAAGTGTAAATTTCCAAACTAGTTAAAAAATTTATTTAGGGAGTGATTCCAGGTGAAAGAAACAAGTAAAATAAAATCAAACAAATACATTAATTAACTTATTTAAAATACCACGTTAATACTGATAGTATTTTGTACTCTGTATGCTAAATCCTCTCTACATAAAACAACAAAAAATATTGGAAATGCAAACCAAAACCACAGTAAGATAACACTTCACACCCACTAGGATGGCTAAAAACAAAACAAAACAAAAAGTAAGTGTTAGAATGTGGAAAAAATGGAACCCTCGTATATTGCTGGTGGGATTATAAAATGTTGTAGCCATCTGGGAAAACAGCTGGGCAGATTTCCAAAATGTTCAACACAGAGATATCATATGATGCAGCAATTTCATTCCTAGATACATAAAAACCAAACTCATTGTCATCTAGTCGATTATGACTCATAGTGACCCTACAGGACAGAGGAGAACTGCCCTATAGGGTTTCCAAGGTTGTAAATCTTTACAGAAGCAGACTGTCACATTTTTCTCCCGCAGCGTGCTGGTGGGTTTGAACTGTCAAACCTTTTTGGTTAGCAGCTGAGGGCTTAATCACTGCACTACCAGGGCTCCTTTCCTAGATACATACCCAAGAAAAATGAAAACATATGTCCACACAAAAACTTGTATATGAATGTTCATAACAGCATTATTCATGGTAGCCAAAAAGTGGAAATAACTCAAATGCTCATGAACTGATGAATGGATAAGTATCCATATAATGCAATATTATTCAGCCACAAAAAGGGAAAAAGTACTGATACATCCTACCACCTGGATGAACTTTGAAAACATTATGGTTAGTGAAAGAAGCCAGTCACAAAGGACCATATATTGTATGACTGTTATTTATTTGAAATTACAAAATGTCCAGAAAAGGCAAATCTAGGGAGACAGAAAGTAGATCAGTAGTTAGTTGCCTAGGGAAGAGGGTAGGAAGTTATTGCTAATGGGTACAGGGTTTCTTTTTGGGGTGATGAAATGTTCTAAAATTGATATTGATGATGGCTGCATAAAATGATATAGCTAATCTACATAGATTAAATTCTGTTAAGGTTAGAAAAACCTGTTAAAGATGACAGTTTATAGCTGTAGTGAAATTCATCGGGGGGAGGGGTAAAGAGGGCAGGGTCTCTCCTTTCTCTTTTATAGGCAGTGATTGTCTTAGTAAAATAATTACTCTCAATAATAGAGTCATTTATCCAATAAAATTTTACTTTAAAAAATATTCATTTTTATACAAGGACTATTTTATTATATGCAGCAACCTGTTTAGAGTGGTTAATTCTAAGATGCAGCATTATTGCTAATTTTTCTTCACTTAGATTATATGATTTTAAATGAGAAAAAGTTAACTAAAAATATATCTTTTTTTCTGAACTAAAATGATAATTTTACTTATATTGTTAGGATTCATTTTTAAAAAACTCTATAATAAAGCAATGAAATGTATTTATTCTGACTATATGTCTTCTATACTTTCCATAGTACTAAAATTAAAAATGTCAAATATATTAAAAAAACATGCATTATAAAGTAAATACATTAACTAATCCAAGATATCAATCTTGAACGGATACAACAACAGAAGCAGTAAAACAAACCTTTGCTTTGGCGCCTGTATGATCAATTTCTTCTTCTGGGGTGTGTTCAGCATGACATTTTGGATGACCCCCTTCTTCTTGGTCAACCTGCATTTTATCCTGGAAAGAAAATATGTAATTGATAAAATATGTACTGTTTATTTTCTTTTTTCTTTCATTTTTTAAAAATAAGCTGCATCTTAAGACTTCAAGCCTGTTTTGAAATGTTTGAACATAATAAGCAGATGCTCGTTTTCAAATAGGAACTACAAATAAACAGATGAATAGGTAAACCAAAGAAAAGATCTATTTGATACCCTGCGAAAAAGTTCTGTTTCATTCACCTGTGTCCAAGTACTATAAAAAGAAATACAAACTGGTTCTCAAGTCAAATTCACAAATCAAGATTCACAAAGTGCAAGCTTACAAAAAGGGAAATAAAAGTCACATAAAACATGTTTATAAAGAACTTAAAAATGTGGGAAAATGAAGTAGAAAAATACAAAATTGATGTATAACATAAATTCAACTGTATTTTTAAAATGCAATACAAAAGAAAATTCATCAAAAGTCACAGACACCTCTGAGTTATTAAAATCTAAACTTTCTAGATTTTTCTTTTTTATGTCTAAAAGATAAACCTTCAACCAATAAACCCCCCTAAGTGGACTCTCTACTTGGCAAATAGTAAGAAGTTACAGATTTTCTTGGGCCCCTATTAAATGTATTTACCACCATTCTCCTAAAAAAAAGTAAGCTTGGGATACAGAAATCAGCACAAAGGCATACAAGTGCAATCAATTTTAGTAAAGATAAATCTTAATGGATTAAATTTACATGTCTGACATAAGATTGTGAACAGTAAAAAATTAACTTTCAAATTATGTTAATTTATGAAAAACCGACTGTACTTCACTAACTGATTAAGACAACACTCCCTCTTCCTCAGTTCAAGGAAGAAAGGATATGACAGGAAAATGATACACTGGAAGAAAAAGAAAGAAAGCAAATACCATGGTCCTTAAATGAAGTACTTTGAAGGTTAATGGTGGAATTCTGATCAACAAGTGCTTGAACTGAAGATTTTAGAGGAATTATTAAACAAACAAAAAGACAACCTTCACAAAAGGGAGAAATTACCTTGAAATTATGATTAGAAAAAAAACTCCAACAAATGCCATTAAAAAGAACTTAGAAATAAACCTGCTGTCATCGAGTCAATTCCGACTCATAGCAACCCTATAGGACAGGGCAGACCTACCCCATAGGGTTTCCAAGGAGCGGCTGGTGGATTCAAACTGCCAACCTTTCAGTAGGCAGCTGCGCTCTTAACCACTGCAGCACCAGGGCTCCAGAAATAAACAGTACCCATAAAAAAGAAGACAGAAACTTTTTTTTAATGGAATATAGGAGCTCTGGTGGCACAGTGGTTAAGAGCTATGACTGCTAACCAAAAGGTCAGCAGTTCGAATCTACCAGCTGTTCTGTGGAAACTCTACGGGCCAGTTCTACTCTGTCCTATAGGGTCGCTATGAGGCGGAACCGACTCAACAGCACCTAACAGCAATGTAAGATAATCAAGTTCTCCTAAGATCCCTTCATCTATAGTACACCAAGAGTAAATTCAGTATTACGGTCACATAGCTCTTTCATAAAGAAATGAACTGTCAGAAATCTGCATTTTAATGTTATTGAACATATAAACATATCCCTCTGCTTAACTGCCACAGCTGCTCCCTAACTAAACTCTGAAATTTTTTTTATTAAGCCTGTGATTTTGATCTAAAAATGTTATTTGTACAACTCAAAATTCAACATTCTGAACTGGTTTTATCTGTAAACTAAAAAGCTAGCACATAATAAAATAGATGTGTTTTTAACGGAAATGAAGAATTTATGAAACACACATACACACATGCTCCATACAATGCTCTGAAAGATGCCCATGCCCCTGAAAAGTATATTACAGTGAGAAAGACGTAGAGTACCTAAAACAGAATTATTCATTGGTGCTTTTATAAAAACAAAAAAATAAAACAGGTTCACAGCAATACCTTCAGCTTGAATTCAGAGCAAAGCCTCAGAAATTAATACTTTCAACGATTAATAGTACCAGATATGACTAAGACACTACATATAACACACGGGGGCAATGTTGATTCAGTGGTAGAATTCTCACTTTCCATACAGGAGACCCAGGTTTGATTCCTGGCCAATGCACCTCATGTACTGCTCCCACCCATCTGTCAGTGGAGGCTTGCCTGTTGCCGTGGTGCAGAAAAGGTCTCAGTGGAGCTTCCAGTCTAAGATGGACTAGGAAAAACGGCCTGGCAATCTACTTTCAAAAATCAGCCCATGAAAACCCCATGGATCACAATGGTCTGATCTGTAACTGATCATGGGGAAGGTGCAGGACTGGGCAGTGTTTTGTCCAGTTGTGCATGGGGTCACCATGAGTTGGCAGCCTACTCAATGGCAGTTAATGATAATAACACATTATATTAGAAGAACCTTGAAATAGGATCTCTACATACCACATCATCTTTGCATTCATTCTTAAATGAAGTTTCTGTCTCCATAGGAGCATCACTGTGATCCCCTTCCAAGTTCTGCTTTTCAATTACTGATGCACTAGCCACACTGAAGATCCCATGGATATTAACGCGAACTTTTACCTTCACTTTGGAATTATCACCATCAGACTGTGGAAAAACATTCTGAATAGTGAAGCTCCCTTAAGAAAAAAGGTAAGAGCTTTAATTAGTACATGAACCTGAGACTGACTCATCCAATTCATTCATTCAATAATTTCCCTATCATGTTTCAGATACTGGGAAAACAATCATACAAGTAGGACCACATCCTGGTTGATTACCATGGGCCAGGCACTTCCCCCAGATTATTTTCTCAATACCTTACCCATCCTGATACTGAGACTCAGAAAAGTCAAATAACATGCCCCAAATCGTTAATGCTAGGGAATAAAAGAGTTGGGATTTTAACCAAGGACAATCTTACTCAAAGGAAATGTAACTTTTAAGTATTTTACAATATTGATACTCTAAAAGCAAAATAAAAAATTCAAGTTCTGTGTGAAAACCAACAGATACTATCTTTTTAGCTATAAGCTTTCCAAATCAATCATCTTGGTAATTCATAAGAAAAGCAATTTCAAAAATTTTCTGGATTTTTCCATAGCGAAACTGCTAAATTATCCAGTCACTAATACCTGTATATATGATATCAATTTTTAACTGTAAGAAATCTACTAATGTTTTATTTCTTTAATGAAATCTTAAATATTTAAGAATATCCATAGTAAAGAGAGAATACTAGGCAGAAAAACTGGGTAGTAAGAAACCTGGCTGACCTTCAATAATTTATTTCTACTGCTTTAAATACTGTCCTTCAAATATTACACTATTGTCTCCTTTTTAGTCTATCAATAAAGCAGTACCTATAGAAAAATTTAAAACTTAAAAATTACTCCTTCTCTTTTTAATGTCATAAAATCATACTTCGTTCTATATCTTCTAAAATGATTACTCAGTTAAAATGAATGATATTTATAGTCTCTTACTCTCATTTTCATATTAATCAAATGTTACTCATTCTGGTTGGTGACAGTGAGTGTAAGTTTAGAATCAGAATATATAGTTACTCTTGCACCATAATTTTGATTAACTGACGAGAGAGCTTGTCCATAAAAAGTAACCATCACACAAACCTTTCAGGCTAAGCACGGAGCCTTTTAAGCATAGAAGTCAGGATGAATTAAAAATAAACTCTAAGCACTAAAAAATACAAGTTTAGAAAACCATATGAAAATTTTTAAAAATCCAGTGTCAGTATAGCTGAGATGTCAATGTACTTGTTTCCCTGATTTTAATTTTAACATATTATTTATCAAAGGCCATTTATGGAAAATATTTTCTTGAGTTTTCTCACCAATTCTTGGATCAGGATAAGGCACTTCATGTGGATTAGTATAAAATGCTTCTAGTTCAAATGGCTCCTTCTTGTGGAAAGTAATGACTTTTGAGAATGGGGCAGGATGGTTCTTACAGAATACTTCACATTCCCTACAACGGAGAGGGAAAAACACTCATTTAAAGATAAATAAAAGGTTGTCTAAGAACCTAATTACAAAATCCATCTCATCCTTAATTCATAACGCAGCAACTGCAAAGACCTCTACGTACAAATGTAAAGAAAAAAATTAGTTGTTTTGCAATAAACATTCATTTTGACAGACTGATGGCTCAAAGATTTGTTTATCATACTAACAGAAAATACAACTAAAAAGAGAAAAACAATTACTTGAGAATAGGTAAAAGTTAAAGCCAATATGTAGGAATTATTTTATGGCTCACATCTGAGGACCAAATCCTACCCATCAGCTTTCAAAATATTTGTCATATGTAGCCCTCCCTTTTCTTCCAGCTCCTTTAAAAAAAAAATCTTTTTATTTGGAAACACTTTTTTAACTTGTGGCAAGGTGCAAAAATAATAGTAGAAGAAACATTTGTATATTCTTGGTGAAGACCTAGATTTGCCTGTTGTCTGTCACACATCACCCTTTCTGTGTCACCATTTGCGTGCATGCACTCTGTCTGTGTGAGCGTTTTCCCCTGAACCGACAGAGAGTGCTGCTTGCGTGATGGCCCTTTCTCTCTAAATGGAGTCCCCTGGGTGGCAGACATGGTTAAACTACTAGCTGGCCGTTCAAACCCACCCAGTGGCGCCTCAAAAGACAGGCCTGGTGATCTACTTCTGAAAGGTCACAGTCTTGAAAACCCTAGGAACAGTTCTACTCTGCATACATGGTGTTGTCATGAGTTGGGATCAATTCAATGGTAACTAACAACCACCACCCCTAAATAATTTAGTGCATATTTCCCAGTAGGGATATTTTCTAACATAAACAAGTACAGTGGTCAACTTTATAAATTTATATCCATACTTTCTTCTACCATCTATATACCATTTTAGCTGACATAATTATGTCCTTTATAGTATTTTCCCCCCTCCAGTACAGGGAATTTTTAAACCTGCATAGCAATTCCTATTCCTTAAATAATGTAACAAAAAAAGTTTATGACTACAGGTTATAGTGGCCCAGAAACTCACTATTTAATACTATATTATCATCGTATCACATTAATTATGCAAGGTTTGAAAATCTCACATTCATTAACCTTTTCCTCTATCCTTGTTTTCAAGAACATATGAGTACCTTCTACTTTCTTACTGTACTCATTGGAATACATTTACTTTTCAATTTGGCTCCCAATATATTTTCTTACAATTATTTGCAGGATCACTTCTACCTTTAACTGAAATTAAACTTTAAAGAATAATACTTCTTGCCTCAAACTTGACATTCAAATATGCCATTTAAACGCTCTGCAAGACATTCAGATCAGACTGATAATCCATATTTTTCAAACTTTTGCAAAAATTTAAATTTCTTGGGCGTGTGATGTACAGAACACAGAACAACATTTTAGAAGCATCTTCAAAACCTAAATGCAGCTTTATTTCACTGTACAAGCCATGCTTTTGAAAAGCAGGAAAATATTTGAGATTTAAATTTTGATTTTGGTAGGAAAACAAACTACTTAAACTCAGGGCAGCTTATGGAAAAAGAAATGTACATGTTAATAAAAACATAAGATTTTAGCTCACAATATTTGGAAATTCAAATAACGAAGTACTAACTTCTATTATCAGGCCGTTAAATTTAAAGGTATAGGAGAAGATGAGCTAAAACAGACAATCACATGCAATGCTGATAGGAATATACCTGATATAATATTTTTAGTAAATAATTTGGCAGTATTAGTTAAAAAAAACAAAAAAAAGTGCAGATTCTTTGGCTCAACAATTCTACTCCTACAGTTATCTTACAGATACACTGAACAGAAATGAACCAGGAGATGTGTACAAGGATATTTCCTAACAGCATTGCTTGAAATAGCAAAATATGGCCTAATAGTGTATTGGTTAAATTATGGCACATACAACTGGTGACATTTAAGTGCACTGGAGATATATAGATGATCCTGTATTTAAAAGGTGCATACTTGGGTTTATTTTTGTATATTCAAAGAAAATGACTGCACAGATATACTCCCAACTAAGAGAGTTGGGGTATGGCAAACGCAGGTCTTAAGGTTTGTGTATTTCTATACTCCAATTTTCATTTGAAAATGAGCATTTTTATTTTATAATAAAATATGAACTAAAAAAATATGCCTGTCACAATTTACAGAATATTATATATCATTTCTACATCCTCATATTAAAAACAGTGCTTTTGAGAACTGAAAGAAGTCTAAATTCCTCTAATTTAGAAGAGCAGATTCAGTTGGTTAAAGATTTATGACAAGGTCTAACCAAGGCTTTAAAGGTAACTTACCCAGTTCCATCTTCAAAAGAGGTCTTCCACTTTAATGTGATTGAATAAGGAATAAGGTCTGTTATGGAAAATTCACGCACTTTAAATGCTGGTGAAAGAATCGCACACTGAAAATAAGATGTATATCACATTTAAATCAATAAACACAAACCATATCCTGATTAAACTGTTTACTGAAGTTCTTAGATTTAAACTGTCATATTTAAAAAATTACTGTTCTTTGGTAACAACTAGTTAAAATTAGAAAGGGCCAGAGTGCTCTTTTGTAATCTAACAAAAATTAATAAAAGAATATTTTTAAATCTCAAAAAGGAATAATTGCAAAAATTCATAGAAGAAATGTTCTTTCAGTACAGTTATAGATATATATGGTCCTATCATAACTTAAAATATAAACAGGAAAGACGCGATACTTGTTTATCAGGAATAATTTCAATTTACTCTATTTATCCTACTAAGAGGTGGTTGAAACAGATAATATTAAAAGGCCCCATGAGTTCGGTATCAATTTTACAGTAGCAGGATTGTTTTTGGCAGTAGACCTATCGCCCTGTTTTTGGCAAAATATACATTCTAAAAAACAAGGACAACAATCATACCTGTAAGGCACATCCTCTTGCAACAGCTTCATCAGCATTTAATGTGGTACTTATGTCTTTAAGAAAGAATTTACTGATTTGTTCCTTTAATGCAGGAATTCGTGTAGCTCCTCCTACAATTTCTATACTACTTATATCTTCACGTTGTAAGTCTAGAAAACAAGAAGTTTATAATTGAGGAAAATAAAATAGTCTTTATTAAAGTGTGAACAGTAGGCTTTGGAAAGTGCTTTTTAAAAAGGTGGATCAATTTTTTATTCGTTCAGAAGGAAATAAAATGTAAAAAAGCAGCAAATTTTGGAAAAAGACAAATTTAATAGTAACTGTATCTATGTGACAGGCACTACAGCTGATGGAGTGACTATAAGGAAAAAGCACCCCTCCATGGGCTCTCTAGAGTCTCAGTCGAGAAAAACACTTTCACCTCACAAATCCTCATGGAAGATACTTTTAATTGATTACAAAAACCTTAACAAAAAGCAATCATATTCCCATTTCTACTTTACTTTTCTCTTAGAATTTTCTATACTTATCAGTGAAGTGAGTAACACCACGGTACAGTTTTGATGGTTAGCCCAGTAATTTCTACTTACTAGCTTCCTCCATTACTGCTTTTAAAGGTGGTTCAACTCTGGCCAAGAGGGAAGCACATAATTGTTCAAATTGAGCCCTGTGGGAAAAATTCATCATGTTGGGTTAATAATTCAGCTTATCTTCTAAAATAACAGAATGGAAAAGAAAAAGACATAACATATACATTATAAAATAAGCAAACACTTCTCAAACTGAAAACATGCACAGTACCTGTTCATTTTACTAGAAACATCAAGGTCACTCATGAAACACTCGATGTTCAATGGAAGATCTGATGCATTTGCACTCATTAGCTTCTTTAATTTTTCACATTCCTGATATAAGCGTAACAAGGCCCGAGAGTTTTCTTTCACGTTTATCTTATATTTGGTCCTGAACTCATCACAGAAGTAGTCTACTAAAGCCTCATCGAAGTTCCTGCCACCCAAATATGGATCAAAGGTAGTAGCCAAGACCTATTTAATTGGAAAAACAGAACTAAATTTTCAGAAGTATAGATGCTTTCAAAGAGAAAGAAAAAAAAAAGTCTTTAGAATTATAATAATATGAAGCCAAACAACTTGTCAAATCACATGACGTCAAATCTGGAATTAGACATAAATTATCATTTATATTTAGCCAACAAATTTCCCCACTCTGAAATATATGCTTTATAATTACAGATCCATATATTGTAAAGGAGCAATTCTAATTCTGAAATAATTGAGTTACAATGACTAAACCCTCATTATTTCTCATGTTCTGGTTCTAGAATTGCACTGAGTTAGAAAGATGAAAACAGTTCAGAGAGCAAAGAAACAGCCTTAAGCATCTAAAAAGAACTAAGCATCCAAGAAAAGCAGATCCAAAGATTACATCTGACATAGCATGTCAATCTACAGACCAGGAATTAAGCTTTTTATTATTTAAAAAAAAGTCAGCAGATTTTCATTAAAAACATAAATGAAACAAAAGGATACATGAGAGGCCAAAAGAAAAAAAAAAAAAAAACACAGAAAAAAGTGGAGAGCAATAGACCCCCAGCTAGCACCAGGTAGAAGAAGAGTAAACAAGTCGAAGAAGTTCAACACTATAGTCACTGAAAACAAAGAACCAAGACATCTAGTCTCTCTCCCTAAGGTAGAGAGCACAAATGACTAATTATAAATAGTCACTACTAAAATAAAAATCCCACTTTTGGTGTGGTTTATCAGATTTTTTTTTTTTTCATAAGGAATGGGTGGAATGGTGGTAAACACCACAGTAGGATATGAGTGTAATCTGGTTGGGATGTTACACCAGACTAGTATGGTCAATCGGCAGACAGACTTCTCATGAGGTCCAATATTACCCGAAATTAAATGCAAAATTGTACTGGTATGTGAATAGTGCAAGTATATATTCTTCTGGGGAGAAGGGTCACAGCCTTCATCAGACTTTCAAAGTGGTCTATGATGTAAAAATTACAGATCCAAAACTCTAAGGTACCTAAGGTACCTACTAAAAAGAAAGAAAGTTAACATTTAAGGCTAAATGTCAAGGATTAAACCAGTTTATAAAGAAAACTAACCTATTCAGTATGAGTCATTTCCCTTTAACTTCCTAATTACAAAGATGTTATTGCAGTAACATATACTGGCAAGACAAAAGGCCCCACAGGTGTTACATAACACAAAGCATTTGATCCTCTAAGTAAATTCTCCTCAGTGTAAGTTTAGACAAGATAATCAGTGTAAAAATGAACATAAAACCAAACACAAATAAGAAGCACATAGAATAAAAACAAACCAAAAATCAAACCAAACCCATTGCCATTGACCCTAATAGTGGCCCTAACAGGACAGAGCAGAACTGCCCCACAGGGTTTCTAAGGATGTAATCTCTATGGAAACAGACTGCCACATTTTTCTCCCACGGAACAGCTAGTGGGTTTGAACCGCCGACCTTTTGGTTAGCAGTCGAGTGCTTTAACCACTGCACAACCAGGCCTCCTATCCAGGCATTAAGGATCTCTACATAGTCTATCCAGGAGCCCCGGTGGAACAATGGTTAAATACTTGGCTGCTAACAAACAGAAAGGTCAGCAGTTTGAATCCACCAGCCACTCTGGGAGAAAAGCTGTGGCAGTCTGCTTCTGTAAAGATTACAGCCTTGGAAACCCTAACGGGTAGTTCTACTGTGTCCTATAGGGTTGCTATGAGTTGGAATGGATTCGATGGCAATCGGTTTGGTTTGGTGGTATATAGTCTATCCACCATCTGTCAGTTTATCGTACTGTGGCAGTTTGTGTGTTGCTACAGGAATGCTGTGAGTTGGAATCAACTCGACAGCAATGGCGGGGGGCAGGAATGATGCTGGCAGCTATTCCATTGGTATTTCAAATACCAGCAGGGTCACCCATGGGAGAAAGGCTTCCGTAGAGCTTCCAGACTAAGACAGACTAGAAAGAAAGGCCTGGTGGATCTACTTCTGAGTATTAGCCAGTGAAACCTTATGGATCACAACAGAACACTGTCCAACTTGCTTGCTTTGGACGTGTTGTCAGGAGGGATCAATCACTGGAAGAGGACATCATGTTTGTTGAAGTAAAGGGCCAGAGAGGGCATGGGAGACCTTCAGTGAAATGGACTGGCACAATAGCTGCCAACGATGGACTCGAACATACTGGTGATTATAAGGATGACACGAGACTGAGCGATGTTTTATTCTGTTGTACGTATGGTTGCCGTGAGCCGGAGCTAACAACATATAGTCCTGCAATTAAAGACTATAGTTAAATACAGCAAATAAGTTATTTACTTACCTTAAGTTTTCCTTTGTTAAAAGCACAAACTGAGACCTGGTAGGCAGAGTGTCCCATATCAATAAATACTACATTTCTTGGTTTCTCATCTAAGGGTGGAAGATCTTGTTTATAAATTCCATATGCTAGTGCAACTGTGTAAGAACAAAGAAATAGGTTTATTTTAGGAGCAGTCAGCTGGAAAACAAGTAACAGATACGTCACTTGATATTGCACTTTAATACATGGTGCAGTAATAAAAACCATTAATCATTAGTTTCAAAGTAAATTAACTTTTCATAATTTGGTTAATGTTTTAATTTCTTTTCCCTATCCATCTAGAACTCGGTAATATTAACCATTCTTATAGAAAATAAGAGTCCCTGGGTGGTGCAATCCATTAAGCGCTTAACTACTAGTTGAAAAGTTGGCAGTTTGAACCCATTTAGAGGCCTGACAGCCCACATAGGCCTGACGATCTGCTTTCAAAGGGTCACAGCCTTGAAAACCCTATGGAGCAGTTCTGCTCTGTATACACAGGGTCACCATGAGTCGGAACAGACTCACCGGCAACTAACAACAACATAGCAAATAAAACATGTTTAGTCTCTGCCAAGATGTTGTACTCCAAAACGAGAAGCTTACAAAAATCAGTACATAATAGAATTAAAAAATAAATGATTTGTGTTAATTAAACAAACAAAAAAAAAAAGGTATTTTTCTGACCAAAACCAAACCTGCTGCTCGTGGAGTCAATTCTGACTCACAGAGAGAGACCCTACGGGACAGAATAGAACTGCCCCATAGGGTTTCCAAGGTGAGGCTGGTAGATCCGAACCGTCAACCTTTTGGTTAGCAGCTCAACGCTTAACCACTGCTCCACCAGGGCTCCATTTTTCTGACAGCTGTTTTCAAATTGCAGAATGCTTACCTGCAGTAGTTTCATTCATCAGCCTTAAACAATTTAAGCCTGCAACCTGGGCTGCGGCCATCACAGATCTTCTCTCAGCATCAGTGAAAAAGCTAGGAATCTGGTATTTAAACACATTAACTAAATATATTAGTTTCACGTAATAGATTTTACTTTAACATTTCATCAATTGAAAAATGTAAAATAATTGCACTAAAACTTACATTCAATGGTGCTCAATTAAATAAATGAAGAAAAATACTAGGTTTATTTTTTTTTATTGTTGTTTAGAGTATACACAGTACTAGGTTTATTTTTAAAGCTTTATAATTTCTATACCATAAAGATTTGACCTGATAGTACAACACTAATTTAAAGTAATTAATAATATGAAATAATATGAAGGATTTCCAGAGTGTTAATCTAAACCCTTCCTGTGTTGATCTGGTATATTAGAAAATATTTGTTCACCTTTAATAATGAAAAATTGAAAACCTCAAAGTCTGTTAAAACGATATTGGTTAACTATATTACAGTATATCCATATACTAGAATCCTCCACAGCTGATAGAAAGGATGAAGTAGAACTGACCTATCATGAAATAATATCTTTGTTACATTAAAAAAAAGGTATATTATAGCATGATTTCATCTTTGTATGGTTTCATTATGAATATATAATGAGAATACAATCACAACTTTTTATAACGGTTATCTTTGCAAAGGAAGGAACTATACTGCAGGAGACTTACGATGAGCAGTACTTCTTTTAAAATCACCGAAAAACATTAAACATAGTTTTATTTAAAAAAAAAACTCAGATTTAAAACTTCAAGTTTTTTTTAATCTGTCAAACTAGGAAGGACTTTTATTTGTCCTACAGAGTTTTTCCAAAAAGCTAGTTATTAAGTATAATCGTGTACAAAATGGCTTCAGTCTCTGAGTTCTAAGTAGTCTCCTTCAATTTTTATTGTTTTTTAATTTATAAATTTCATTTAACAGATTATTAACAACAGGAAATGAACTTGGACTTTGTTAACTTATCCTGTTTTGTTACTATCCTTCTGGCAAAAATCTAGATTATAAATTATGATTCATTTAATATTCATTAAGCCCTTATGTACCAGGTACTTTTCCAGCCACTGGGGACACAGACGTGCACAAAATGACCAAAATACTTGCCCTCATAGAGCTCACAACTACAAAGTTAATAACAGCCAAGAAGTTCTCATCAGTCTGTTCTGACACTAATTTCTAACTGAAAATAAAAGCAATTATAGGTTAAATAAATAAGATTTGAATTTAAGATGGATTTTTTTTTTTTTTAAATATGTACCATTCTGACATACTTTCAAGTGGCAGTATAATGGAAGAGTTATGAGCACAGACTCAGGAAAAAAACTATCTGGGTTGATTTCTGGCTCTCCCACTCATTAGTTATGTGATTCTGGGCAAGTTATTTAGCTTCTCTATGCTTCAGTTTCCTAATCTGTGAAAGAGGTTAATAATGTCCTACTTCATAAAGCAGCTGTGAGGATTAAGTGAGTTAATACATATAAAATTCCTAGAACAGTGCCTGGTTAATGGTAAACTCTACATTTTTATTATTACTAACTCGTTATAAAACAAAATATTAAGCTCTAATATATTTCTCCCTTTTTAAAATCCCAAATACCTAGGAAAATACATAATTACTAAATTTACTAAAAAGTTAATATCCTGATTCTATTTTTCTGATATGAAACTCTTATGTAGTCAAACTTAATAGTTAGAAATATATTCATATTTAGGTGACAACATGTAACTTAAAAGTAATTATGAATATATAATAGAATCTCAAGAGATAAAATTGGGTAAATAATTATTTTGCTAAGAATCCTTAAAGTAAGATCTTTTCTTTCTGATACAAAATATATACAATCTCAAATTCCCAACTGGAAAACTTCATCCTTCACTATAAAATATTAAGTCCCCTAGAGGTTGGAAGTTAAGTGCTACCTGGAAAGATTCTTAGGGATAGTGGCACGTATAATAGCCACTAACTAACCACACACATTAGGTTTTTAAGATTCACTGATTATCACAATAGACTTTACAAGAAATTCAACACTAAACTACCAAATAAAGCAATATTTATTTTTTTGAATAAAGTCTAAATGGTTTTAGGTTATCTATTGGATAAGAGCAGAAAGTATTAAAAAAAAAAAGGGAAGAAAAATATTTCAATATAACATTAATACATGAAAATATGATTCAAGAGTATTCATTACTAAAATAAAACTTACTGAAATCACACAGTCAGCTACTGGTTTCTTCAAAGCATTTTCTGAAGTCTCTTTAAGCTTGGCCAACAGCATCCCGGTTACTTGCTCAATTGCAAAAGGTCTCTCTTCTTCTAGGTACCGCACCTAAAACCAAAAGTTTAGAAATTTATTAAGAGTCATGTATTCATCCAACAAATATTTGTTAAGCATCTACATTATACGTGATGGGCATAATGGGCATACAGCAGTGAAAGAAGCGAAGTCCTTGCCTCAAGGAAGTTATAGTCCAAAAAGACTGTCATTCTAGAATCATGGCCTCATTAAAAGCATTGACAACTTCTCATTTCTGAATTCCCAATACTTTACATATAGTATTATAACCAAGCAAATTATTTTGAAAAGTGTCTCTTATTTTCTCCAGATTGCTACCTTCCCACAAAAGTAATTTTTATCATTCATTTTCCAAACGTGACATACCAACAATGAAGGAGAAAAAGATTAAACACCCTTCTGAAAGGTTTGAAGTGAAAACTTTATAGTCATACAGTTTTGGAAAAAAGCAAATGAGAATATAACAAAAATCCTTATTTTAAAAAAACTGAACTGTCAAATGTTCTGTTATATATATTCTTACTACAATAAAATAAAAAGGAAATTTAATATGTATTAATATGTTTGTGAGAACAATTATAAATTAAATACTAGAAATGTATACATAAAATTTAAAAATCTTTTTTTTTTTAAGATCACATACCTGCTTCATCTTTTTTTTTTTTGTACTTGTGGTCCATTAGTCCTTTGGACTAATCTTTCTCTTATGTCTTCGGTTTTCTTCATTCTCCCCCTTGCTCCAGACAGGGTGGGACCAGTGGTGTATCTTAGATGGCCGCTCACAAGTTTTTAAGACCCTAGATGCTACTCACCAAAGTAGGATGTAGAACATTTTCTTTAGAAACTAAACTATGTTATGTCAATTGAGCTAGATGTCCCTTGAGACCATGGTCCCCTGCCCTCAGCCCAGTAATAACTACTTCATCTTAAACACAGGTTTAAGACTAGGCTGCATTTGATTTGAGCACATAAAATGAAACTTTAGAGTGCTTCCTGACCAAGGAATACTAAGGGACCTTTGCTTTATTGAAGAAATCAAACTCTTGCAACAACCAAAAATTTTCAAGTAATACAAAGCTACCTTAGAGCCCACGTGACTATATTTAATTCACTGAAGAAATGGCTATGTCTTTTACCTCTGTACTCCCAGCGGAGTGAATGATTTTAGTTTGTAGCACTTTGAAACTTTGGAATAGTTTTAAAGAACTGCTCTTCCAAGGAGCACAAGGTATGCATGTACCTGACTGTGTGTAATAAGATTTAGTATGAAACAGACCTAAAATTAATATCCATTTGTTTCCAAATCAATTTACAATTTAAAAACATATATCAAATTACTGCCTTTAACCCAAGAGAGTGGGGGAAAATCCAGCACACTGAACTAAGGGAAAAATGAATCAAATACCATGCATGGTCTTAGTCTGACAGTGGACACAGAACACACTGTGCATGGATGTTCACGATGCAAGAATATAAAACAGTTACAGATGAAAAAAGATCAAATTAAATTCAAACAAATATCTAAAAAAAAAACCTGGATACAAATGCTTGAGAAGTCAAACGCTGAAGATCTTTAACCTTCAAAAGATGAAGATAATTCAACACTTAACTTGTTGATGTTTTCAAAGCTTCTTCAACTAGCTTACAGGCACTTATGATGAATGCATAAAAATTATATCACTCAGAAATCAGGTTTTGGCTTTGTGTTTTAAAAAAAAAAGTTTTACTCTTATTTTTCCCAACCCATCCACAAAGCATGAGTTTTAAATTTCTTTTACAAGTAAATAAAACTTGTTTTCTAGGTGAGCATTAGCCAGACTTTATCATATCTAAAGGACTGTTGTTAGCTGCCACTGTGTCGACTCTGACTCATGGTGACTTTATGTAAAACAGAACAAAACACTGCCCAGTCCTGTGTCATCCTGACAATTGCCAGCATATTTGAGTCCATTGCTGTGGCTATTGTGCCAATCCATCTCACCAAAGGTATCCCACACCCTTGTTAGCCCTCAACTTCACCAAACATGATGTCTTCTTCTAGCGATTGATCCCTCTTGATAACATGTCCAAAGCAAGCAAGTTGGACAATATTCTGATGTGATCCATACAGTTTTCATTGGTTAATTTTCAGAAGTAGATCGCCAGGGCCTTTCTTCCTAGTTTGTCTTATTCTGGAAGCTCCACTGAAACCTGTCCACCATGGGGGACCCTGCTGGTATTTTAAATATTGGTGGCATAGCTTCTAGCACCATAGCAACACAAACACCACCACAGTATGACAAACTGACAGACGGGTGGTAGATCTAAAGGATATCTGAGTATTATTCTTTATCTCAGTTACTGCAATCATAACCCATCCAGCTTCCCAGGCAGCAACCCCTGACCAACAAATTTTACCTACAAGATGGCTTCGTAATTTGTCTCATCTTTAACCTCTCACGTCTTCCCTAAACTACTGTAAGTAGTGAGACTCCTGTCTCCTTACTACAAATCATCACCCACCCTGTAGTCAGAACTCTTTCCTAAAATTCAATACACTTGCATAAACAAATGTGTATCAACTGATGGATAAATGAAATGTGGTATATCTATGTAATGGGATATTATTTAGCCATAACAAGGAATGAAGTACTGATATGTACTACAACATGGATGAACCCTGAAATTACGTGAAGTAAAGAAGCCAGACATAAAAGGCCATGTATCGTATGATTCCATTCTGTATGAAATGGAATCCATAATAGGCAAATCCACAGAGTCAAAATATAGATTAGTGATTGCTAGGGAGTAAGAGTAAACGAGATGGCGTTAAACATCAAGTTTAAAATTATTTTTTTAAAAAATAACAGCTTTAGTGAGATACAATTCATATGGCACAAAGTTCACCCTTCTGAAGTGTATAACTGAGTGTTTTTTAGTATATTCACCAAGTTCTGCGGCAATCACCACTATCTCTTCTAGGACATTTTCATCACTCCAAAAAGAAACTCTGCACCCATTAGTAGTAAGTCCCCATCCCTCTTTCCTCTTGTATTAAAAATATTAATGCAAATTCTTCTTTCAAAACATGAGAAGTTAAAAAAAAAAAAAAACAGTAAGTTGAATTCTGGATTTTTAATCCTACATCCCAAGGCAATAAGTCAGAAATTAACAAAAACACGTTCATGCTGATTTTTCAAATACCAACAGAATGCCTCAAACACAGTTACCATATGACTCAGCAATTCCACTCCTAGATATATACCCAAGACAAATGAAACATATGCCACACAAAAACTTGTGTATGAATGTTCACAACAGCATTATTCATAGCTAAAACATGAAAACAACCTAAATGTTCATATAAGATTATAAGATTCTTCTAAATTGGAGAAAACTCATAATGGCAATTAACATATTTTCAGGATCTATTCCTCTAAATCACATAGGCCTCTGCTTTTATCCTCTGGAAACCATTCACCTTTTCAAGCTCTCCAAGTAACTTTTCCTCAACAATAAACTAGACTTTTTTGCACATTCACTAAAGCTTATTAAAAAAAACTTTCTATATCTTGAGTACACGTGTACTGTATCCAGAAGAAAACTGTTTAACTATACATTACAAGTAGGCAATATTATATTTAATTTGAAAATGATATATTTGTGCTTTGGGAATATAAAGCTATAAAGCTTACCTTAACTCCTGCACTTCCATTAGGCATCTTCTGCAGTTCATAAGGAAGCCTGATCCTTTCAGTTTGCACAATGGGATCATCAAATGATCGTCCATGAAGCTTTTTGAATCCGTGAATTGTATTTCTTACATTTGTGACAATCTGTTGGCAATAAAGACTTATCAATTATTTAATGAATACAAAATAAAATACTACTATCCTAATATTTGAGAACCACTAATTCCCTTTTTCCTACATATCCAAGTCAGATTTACACACAGTCATTCATTTTTCTGGCTTCCAACCAACAGCAAAATTATACAATGAGAATATATGCATCTTGACCAGTTTCTTACAGAAATTCCCCTCTTAGGAATTTTAGATTCAAAGTTAGTGTCTTCAAAAAAGAAAGAAGAAAACTTCAAAATGGAACTCCATATCTACCATCCATTCCTTTGGTTTTCCTCAATACTTTTGCTGTAGTGAATTAATTTTTTATTTCTTTCCACTTTCATGTCTGTGTTTTTTTTTTTTTTTTAATTGTACTTCAGGTGAAAGTTTACAACAGTTTCTCAGGAAACAGTAGTACACATACTGTTTTATGACATTGGTTAACAACCCCACGTCATGTCTGTTTTTTTTAAAACTATGTTTTATTTATTTTTTTACTGTACAGTTTCTCTTTTCCTCTAATTATTCGATTCTTTGTTAAATTTCTCATGCACTACTATGTTGCTTCCATTGCTGAGAACTACTCTTATTAAAATCAAAATCCCTGTCCTGTAGCATGGTGCTAAGTGAAAGTGCCTTCATTGTAAATAGCTTATATTTCTGCAAAATAATTTTTCCTTTAACTGGAAAGCAACACATAGTTCAAACTATAGAATATTACTAAGATTCAGTCGTTGCCCTCTTAGTGACCTGTAGAGTCAAATAGATCTTGATTTTCAATTATGAAAGGAAACTACAGAGATGCTGAATTACCATGTTAGTCTCTTCAGCTGTTCAGGAGAAATAACTTTAGTTTGCTTTTTTCAGAGACTCTGATACCTACAATCCACTTATATGAGATATAAACTTAGTGGGAGAGGTTAAGGTGCCATTTTGACACAAACCTAACATTTGCTTATATATAGCATGAAAGGTAGAAGAAAAGATAAAAACTGGTTCACATATAGATCAATTATAAAAGATAGCCTTGATAAAAACCATAAGCAAGAAGTTCCAGGATAAATTAAGTAAGTCAATTATACCTACAAGTCCTAAGGCAAAAAGTGCCATTGAAGAAAGTTATTTTATAATGAAGAAAATAAAGACCCAGCTACATATTAAAATGTCAGAAATAACTGGTAAGTCCAAGAAAAATCTACTTATAGCTCAGAACACTGTCAACAATCTACTCATAAGCATTTCACTAGCCTAAACACATGAACGCTTAAACAGAATGAGGTAAAGTAGTGGTGGCTACATCAGATCACTCTGAAATTAGTTCCTTCATTTCCCCCTACCTTCTTTTATACAGACACTGCTTACCTCATCTTTAAAGTCATATTCCAGACAGTCTATCCCTCATAGAAACAGTGATCGTACATGGAAATTGATGTTACATGGTAGCACACCCTAACTTCAGAACTAAAAAGATTTTTTAAAAAAATCTTTTGACAGATCAAAGCAAAATACATTTAAATACAAAGATCTTAGGATTCTGTCATTTTTTTCTCATTCTCTTTTTTCATTCTTTTAACTACATAAAATGGAACTTGGTTACCAAGATTTACTTAATTCTTCCTATAAGTCAGAACATCCACGTTAACAATTTACCTGGCTCTTGGCTGCATTTCCAATGGCTCGAGTTCTGGATCCCAAAGATATACAGGCCCTAAATAGAGAAAAAATAAAAAGTTTGTCCCCATGGTATTTTTATGTTACTGTGCTATTATTTTACTTCTCCCTATACAAAACTGAATTTTAAAAAATTTATATAATCATGTAGTCATATATTATTTTAAAAATCTAGTTGCCATCAAATCGATTCTGTCTCATAGTAATCCCATGTGTTGCAGAGAAGTGTGTGCTCCATAGGGTTTTCATGGCTGTGACCTTTCAGATGCAGATCATCAGGCCTTTCTCCTGTGGGAACTCCTGAGCTGACTTGAACCACCAACCTTTCAGTTAGTAGCCGTGTGCTTAACCATCTGTGCCACCCAGAACCCAAGGACTCTGTATTTTAAGAGTTAAAAAAAAAAAAAGCCCAAACCCACTGCCGTCGAGTTGATCCTGACTCATAGCGACCCCATAGGGTTTCCAAGGCTGTAAATCTCTGTTTTCTTTTTCTTTTTTTAATTGTAGTTCAGGTGAAGGTTTACAGAACAAATAGTTTCTCATTAAACAGTAGTACACATATTGTTTTATGACACTGGTTAACAACCCCACGACATGTCAACTCTGTCCCTTCTTGACCTTTTTTTTTTTTGGTGAAAATATACATAGCCAAAGATACACCATTTCAAAAATTTCTACATGCACAGTTCAGTGACATTGACTGTGCTCTTCCAATTGTGCTGCTATTCTCATTTTAGATGAAGGTTTACAGAACAAACAGTACACGTGTTGCCCTATGACAGTGGTTAACCACCTCACTACACATCAACACTGTCCTTACTCAACCTTGGGTTCCCTATCACCAGCTTTCCTGTCCCCTTCTGCCTTCTAGCCCTTGTCCCTTGACTGCTGTGCCTCATTAGACCCGTTTTGTTTTATGGAGCTGTCCAATCCCCGGCTGAATGGTGAACCTCGGAAGTGACTTCACCACTGAGCTAAAAGGGTTTCTGGGGGCCATACTCTCGGGGCTTCTCCAGTCTCCTTTAGGTCAGTAAATCTGGTCTTTTTTTTGTTAGAATTTTGTTCTATATCCTTCTCCAGCTCTTTCCAGAACCCTCTGTTGTGATCCCAGTCAGAGCAGTCAGTGGTGGTAGCCGGGCACCATCTGGCTGTACTGGGCTCAGTCTGGTGGAGGCCTTGGTAGCTGTGGTACATTAGTCCTTTGGACTAACCTTTTGCTTGTATCCTGTTCTCTTTATTCGCCCTTGCTCCCGAAGGGATGGGACCAGTGGAGTATCTTAGATGACTGCTCACAGGCTTTTAAGACCCCAGACACTACTCACCAAGGTAGAATGTAGAACATTGTCTTTATGAACTGTGTTATGCCAATTGAGCTAGATGTTCCCTGAGACCATGGTCCCCACAGCCCTTCTGCCCAAAAATTCAGTCCCTCAGGGTGTCTGGATGTGTCTATGGAGCTTTCATGACCTTTCCTTGTACAAGTTGTGCTGGTTTCCCAAGTATTGTGTACTGTCTCACCCTTCACCAAAGATGCCACTTATCTACTGCCTATTTAGTACTTCTCCCTCACCCCTCCCATCCCTGGTAACCAATAAAGATTGTTACTTTTTGTGTGTAAACTTTTTCATGGGTTTTTACAATAGAGGTCTCATACACTATTTGTCCTTTTGTGATTGACGTATTTCACTCAGCATAATGTACTCCAGTTTCATCCATGTTATGAGATGCTTCACAGATTCATCATTGTTCTTTCTCTTGCATAGTACTCCATTGTGTGTATGTACCATAGTTTATTTATCCATTCATCTGTTGATGGGCATCTACATTGTTTCCATCTTTTTGCTGCTGTGAACAAGGCTGCCATGAACATAGATGTGCATATGTCTATTCGAGTGACGACTCTTATTTCTCTAGGATATATTCCTAGGAGTAGGATTGCTGGATCATATGGTATTTCTATTTCTAGCTTTCTAAGGAAGCGCCAAGGCTGTAAATCTTCATGGAAGCACACCACCACAACTTTCTCCCGTGGAGCCAGTGGTGGTTTTGAACCACTGATCTTTCAGTTAGCAGTCGATTGCTTTAACCAGGGCTCCTATTTGAAGAATAGATTACTGTAAATCAAAATTTTACATAATTTTAAACTTTCCTAAATAATGGAATGGTGGTCAGAGAAGAGTTTTTTAAAAATGATATAGCTGACAATGCTATGTTGGTCTTCAAAATTGTTCTTCAAATTCTATTGGTCTATGACCTACTAAAAGAATAATTGTTTTTAGTAAGGCCAGATGGTTTGGATTCAAATCCTGGCTCTGCCACCCCACGGCTCAGTAACCTTGTGGAAATTCTGTAACCATTATGTGCCTCAATTTCCCGTTGGGAGAGAGTGATAATAATACCTTCTCATAGTATTGTGTGAGGATTAAATGAGTGAATATAAGTAACAGCTTTGGCAAGTATCTGGCACATAATAAGCATTATATAAGTGATTGCTAGGTTTATTACTGCATTTAAATGTAACTCTGCTTATAGAATCAAATGCAGAATAACATTTTCATCAAAATACCATTTCATGTTATGATGTAAGAAAATGTTTCCATGATTTCAGTTATAGCTACAGGAAAATATTCATTTAATTAACCAATATTTATAGGCTCTCTTTGTACAGAAGCCACAATTCCTGTCCTTGGAGAATTTATAGTCTAATCAAAAAATCATATAGAATATAAAGGACTATGAATGATATCAGCAAAGGAAAGAATAATCACGTCCAGATAACAGGGCTTAGGAAAAGCAAGGAGAAGAGGTGATTTCTGAATTAGGACCTGAAAGAAGAGTAAGCATTTATATGTATCTGTGTTATGGAAATGAACATTCTTTTTATACAGGAAGTCTATTCTCAACATGACAGCCAGAGTGGTTCTCTTAAAGACTTACAAAACTCCTCTGCTGAAAAGCCCACAATGGTGTGTTGTCTCACAAAGTAAAAGCTTAAGTCCTTCAAAAATTGATAAAACCCTTCATATTCGCTGCCAGAAAAAAATTTGCATATCCAATATGGTACACTAAAACTCATCTATCAGAAGAAATGCAGATTTGCCATCTCTCAGACTACCTTATAATCCCTCTTACTCCCAACTCCAGCATACTTCTCAATACTTCTAATTTTTCAATACTAGGCTACCACTGCTTGATTGCACAGAAAATCTTATTCTTCAGTTGATAAATTTCAAGACTTTAACTTCTGCGAGAATACTAGAGTCAAGTAAGATTCAAATTTAACTTTCACTTATTAAGTGATAAGTTCTTTGAAATATGCTTCACACATATATCACTTCACAGAGAAAGCTAGAGTTACCATTATCAGATAGTCTCTGAAGTTAAAGGTAGACTTCAACTTTTAAAGCCTGAAACACTGTAATACAGGGCTTGGTAATGTTCAGTTTCAAATATGTAGAAATCTACCTCACACAGTTAAAGGTCTTCAAGATTCCTTCTTCAATTTTCCAATTTTCTTTCAAAAAGATTCTAGAATACAATCACTAAATAAAAAATACCTGCCAAGGATTTTCCGGAAAAGAAAATTTAAAAAATCAAATACCTATTCTCCCTTAAAACTTTTACCTGACTTAGTAATACTGAGGAAAATAGACATATTCTATTACACTTTAGACTAATGTAAAAATCTGTAAAGGAAAGGATATGCAATAGTTTATCTAAATGTATATAGCATAATCCATTTAAATTATTATTAAATTAATGATTATTTCAACTATTTAGAAATTCCATTATATACCTAAAGATAACAGGTTTACAATGTAGCTTAAACCTATAATATCCAATCTGATGCTGCCACCATAGTAGTAGCCCCAGATTCTCAGAGAATGCCACAAAATTCTAAACAAACAAAACTTCTAAAAGTCTCATGTCACATTTAGTGAGGGGAGGAGTATAAAAATCCAATGACAGGATGCTACCTTGAGAAAGTTGTACAATGAAAGCTGTGAAAGCTGGAACTCCACGGGACCGCCTTGTTGTTCTGGGTATTGCAAGTTTTCCACCTTTGACAGGGGGCAGTTTTACCTGCTTGCTTTAGTGGAAAATATTTGCATATTCCTTCTCTGACAGGTTTCCGCCTTACAAAGTTTCCAGCTTTTGGAGGTTTTACCTTATTTGTATTTTCCCCTAAATTTTAAGATTAATTTTCTTCGGTTAGTCCTTATAAAGACTTATAAAGCCTATTATTATAAAGCCTATTTTTATAAGGCTAAACCTGATTAGGTTGGAAAAACACATACTGCATACAGACTAAGAGATCTCTCACCTAAGAAGTAAGTACTCTGTTTGCTCATCTCTCTTCAATCTCCACTAAGGATCCAAAACCACTTAATTTTATCACTTAAGCTTTAAAAATAGCCTTATTTTTTTCTTCCCTCTTTCCCTTGCCAGTCTCTTAAGATCACAATTTACTATTTATAGCCTCTCTGCTATCATTACGTAGATGCTAAGAAACACAATAGCTGGATTAATGGTGATATGAGAGGACAATCGGTTTAAATTAAGGGGCCATTCCCTTACATTACCAGTTTGGCACTGAATCAAATTGTCAATTGCTAAGCAACTAGTTTCAATTACAGTTGCCAAGAGCAAGATTTTTCAACCTTGGCATTATTGACATTTTTAAAATTCTTTGCTGCATGGTAGGATTTTAGAAGCATCCCTGGTCTTTACCCACTAAACGCCAGCAGCACCTTCCTCTTCCAGTTGTGACAACCAAAAATATCTTCAGATATTGTCAGATGTCCCTTAGGGGGCAAAATCGCCACAGTTGTCCTAGGGCATTATTTCCAAAACAGTCTCCTGTGGAAGAGAAATCCTTAGAGGTGCTCCTAAAAAAAGGACTTTGGTGTTCAAATTCAAATAAGTTTGGGGAACATATCCTCTTCTCGGAGAGTTTTAATGCTCGTAAACAAATTAAGAGATCTGAGAATTTCTGCAATAAAAAAAGCATCTGATTGCTTCCCAAGCTTAAAAATT